AATATCGTATAAGTAAGAATGCTCACACGTTATATGTTGTTGTATGATACTAATTCTTTATACATTGATTTGGGATAGTGTATATTGATGATTAAGCAGTTGAGATGTTGAGGTGGTTGTGTTGAGAATGCTTAAAGCATTAAGTTGTGTGCTGCTTGATTTAGGACTAGAGGAGAGGTTGTTTTAAAAGTTAAATATTTCATTATGAGGATATGGTGTATTGGTGCTCCAAGTGCTTAGTTGCCGACAACCCTTCTTAAAATGTTGACTTTTGAAGTGGATTGTTGGATATTTTCTAAGACATTAGTTGATGTGGTATGGGGGTTAGGTTAGGTCATATCGTCTATAAGTGACTGCAATATAGGGGTTAGGTCGAGTTATAATGATTATAAAGCAGCCAAATGTTGATTCATATGAGGGCCAAGTCAAACCATAAGTATATAAAGTGACCAAACCGAGTAAAGTATAAGGTCGGAGGCCAAAATCCCTAACTAAATATTAGAAGGGGCATAGTATTTAGAAGGTAATTGATAATGTTATTTTTTACTTACATTCTAGTACCAAATTTGTTAACACATTCAACTCTTTCCTAACTTTTAACTTATGTAATCCTCAATTTAAGTTCTCTTTTGTAAGTAAAGACACTTTGGTTACACATACAGGGTTATACATATTTAATCCCCATTTTTTGTGCTTTTTTGGATAGGTAATCATGTCGGAAGAAGCCATGTCAAAGAGAATAAGTTTGATTGGACTCCAACGAAGCAAGCTGGCACTTTCAGTATACCCGCGCTGAGGCCATATATCAGCTCGCTCAACGCACTGGATCAGGCTGAGTTGATGGAGATTTGGCATCGCGCTGGGCATATCACGTGCCCGGTGCGCCTTCCGTCACGCGCCAAGCGCGTATAGTATCGCGCTGAACGCGTCACTTAAAGAGTTGCATAGATTAATATAATTCTTGGCTGAGCGCGAGAAACGGGAGGTGAAAAAAGAGAACCAAAACGAGAGTAGCAGGCAGGTCTGAAAGGGAGAAGCTAGGAAAACCTCTTCACCATTGTTTCTCATTGGGTTTCTTCCATTCTCACTCATTTGATGTATCTTGCTAATCTCATGGAAATGAGTTGCTAAAACCCCTTTGTTGGGGTTAGATGTAGCCAACTTGACTCTCATGTAACTTGTTTGAATATATATATATATATTTATCATGTTTTTATGCTTAATGCTTGTATAGAATGATCAACTATTAAATGATTGGTGATTAATTTTGGTGTGGAAAAATATCATTGGTAATCTTGTTTGGGAATGTGGTACCTAGTAAACTTGTGTCTAGGAATGGAACATGAGTTACTTGTTGTTTGGAGTCCTTAAATTTAATGCAAGTGAATTTATTGAAGTATTCAAGGGATTGATACTTGGTAATGAAACTTAGGCTCTTTTAACCAAGGAATTGGGACTTGAGAAAATTAGTGGGCTAGCATTAATGTTTGAATGAGAAATAAGGTTTTTGATGCATGAGATTAAAGTTGGTGAAGTCTAGCCCTAACATTTCATTCATATAAGTCAATCTCCAAAATCGCATTTCAAGTGTTTGATGAAAGTCCACTTTAGTTCATTTTGCCTTTTTTAGCTTAAAAATTACAATCCACCAAATATGGAATCATTCTTTAGTCTGTATTAGCTTAAATTTCACATATTGCCATTGTATTACTCAAGTCCTTTGAGAAGAACGATCATTACCTCTACTTACTACTTGTGCGATTGGTTCACTTGCCATATTTGAAGAAAACATTTAACATTAATCAGTGGACTAATCCCATAAAAGGCTTAGTTATGCATGCTAAGGTTGTGGTAGGCTTATACCCAAACTATTCTACCTTAATAGGAAGTTATTAGGTGTAATTTGTGTTTCATGGATGTGATTTTATGACCTGATCTATATTTTTAACGTGTGTTCAAACACACACTAAGTTGTAAGTCAATTGATAATGAATAATAAGATTCAAATAGTTATACTCTAAAGTTAAATATATCACACAGGCTTTTTATATAGTAATAGTCTTTTTATAATGAGCTTTTATCACAGGTATTTTATATAGTAACCAACATTTTACAATACATCTTGGTCATTTTGTAATTTGAACATGGCACCTTAATATTTTTTAATGAAAGTGATTATTTGTTTACTAACCAAAATAAAAAAAGGTAATGATTTTTTTATAATATTTTTTTTATTCATCAAAATTACAATAATGATATCAAATTTATAAATTTTTGAATATATATTATCCTAACCTCTTCTACCATTAAGCTGATCCTAATGATTTTACAATGTACTTTTAAATAATATGAAGTTTTCATCAAATTGAGTTTTTTTATGATGTATTTTATTTTAGATTAAATTACAATTCTAGTTCTTTTATTTTTATCAACTCGTAATTTTAGTTTTTCTATTTTAAAATAGAGATATTTAATCTTCCTATTTATAAAAATATGAAATTTTGATCTTACTATAAATTTGATGTTAATTAATTATTAAATTTTGACATTTTTTTATTAACTTATCACCATTTAAGTAGTGTGTTATTTAGTGTTATAATATATAAGAATAAATAATTAAAAATAAAATATAAAATATCTTTATTTATATATATTTTAATGAGTGATTAATATTTATTTTATTAATACATCTTAGGTGTATGTTTTACTTTTAAGTACATGTAAAACATAAAAATTTTACATCACTTAAGTACATGTAAACATTAAAATTTAATAATTAATAAATATAAATTTAATAAGAGGATCAAAATTCTGTATTTTTAAAATTAGAGAGACTAAATATCTATATATTGGACAAAAATTAAAAATTAAGAAAAATAAAGAGACAAAAAAAATGTAATTTATCCTTTATTTTAGTCAATTTTCTCAATGATTCTAAATGGTGATGCTAAATAAATAAATAAATAAAAATTCACAAAAGAAGTTTAAGATAGGGTGATCCTTTTATTTTATTTTATTTTTCAAAAAAAAAAAAATTGTGTGGGTCTTTTCATTAGGGGTGAATAAGGTTGGCAGAATGTGGCGTGGATAACGGTTTGTTTATTGTTTATACTTTGTTTGTTTGGAGTTGATCGCCGAAACCAAGGCAAGAACCAACTTTGTTCATACTGACAAGTTTCTAAAATTAAACTAATGTATTGATGCTTATTTGTTTCCATTCAATTTTTTAATTATGCATTCATGTTCATTTGTAAATGTGTTCACATGGAAAATCGATGCCATTAAAGACTCTAACCTACTCTCACTAAAAAAGAAGGATTTGCTTTTTTCTTTTTCTTTTACCATATAAATTTGAGTTTTTATTTTTAAATGAGAGAATAGTTTAATTGTTTTATTTCTCTTATAAAACATGATTTTATTATTATTTAATACTATAATTTATTTCTTACATTGTAAAATATAACTGTTTATTTTTATATAATTAAAATTAACAATAAATAAATGTCTTGCAATATATAAATTATATTGCAAATTTATAATAAACAATTTTTTGTCAAAGAAAAAAAATTAAAACTGTGTAAAATTAGATACTTCATATAAAAAAAAATTGTTACATAATCTAACATTAACGGCTACAAGTATTTGAATGAATGAATATCATGATATATGCCTTTGTTAACTAATGGATAAATAAAATATTTACATGTATTACTTGTAAATATTAATTAAAGTTACTTATCTCATATTTTATATATATTTTTTTCAAAAGATAAGAAAGATTATAAATATAGTTACAATAAATATTAAATTTATGTCTCCATTCTTTTATATCTAACCCGTCCCCTCCAATCCAATCATTATATCTAGTGGTTTAGGTTCTATTAAATATGTTTTTTAATGTGAATTTTTTTTTTCTTAGATGTATTTTTTATTTTCTGGATATATCAAGTTTTTCATTTATTTTCCTCATTTTCTAAGTCTTACTTAGTTCTCCCAAAAATAAATATGTCTAATCTAATTCTTTTCTTTTCTATTTATTTTGTCCATTAAATATTTTTATCAAAAATGTAATATGATCCGCACAAAATTTATCAATAGAAACAACAAGATTACCTCATGGTTCTTAAGACCATGAGAAAAATGTTATAAAATGTTGTGAAGAACATAACTTTTTAACATTTAAGAACTACTTGATTATGTGAAGAACATAATAACCACTTAGAGTTAAGTGAAAAAAACAAAAAGTGACAAAATTATGTAAAGAATATAACTTTTTAACAATTAAGAACTACTTGATTATGTGAAGAACATAATAACCACTTAGAGTTAAGTGAAAAAAACAAAAAGTGACAAAATTATGTAAAGAATATAACTTTTTAACAATTAAGAACTACTTGATTATGTGAAGAACATAATAACCACTTGGGGCTTAGTAAAAAAACAGTGACAAAATTATGTGAAGAACATTATTTTATAAGTTAGAGTTATGTTGAGAACATAACAATCTAAAAACAAATGAAGAACATAACAATTTAAGCTCTACTTCGTTATGCTTGTTATATAAATATCATAACCATCTTAATGTAACAACATTATGTGAAGAGTATGACTTTCTAAGCTCTACTTTTTAATTGTGTGAAGAACATAGCCAACTAGGATCGCATGAAGAAAGTGACAAAGTTGTATGAAACAAACATGTCCAAACCAAACTCGCAGAAATCTACTAATGAAATTCCACACGTCTGAGGAAGAAATGCCAATACTACATGATGATTTCTTACATTAAGTATATACCTGATGTTTGTATAATGTTTATATAGCTAACAATTCCCAAATACATCACATGCAAAAGAAAAGATATTATTACAACAATAATAGACAAAAAAAAAAAAAAACATGTTCTATTAATGAAAAGGACTACAGCGATGAAGCAAAATTATAAGTGCAAAAAGAAAAAAGAAACAATAGGAAAAAGAGCATCTAGGCCACAACTTGGAGATCAAAATTTTATATAAACTATATTGATACAATTTTATTTATCTATAATTACAAGGTTAAACGTACATTTTTTTTATTTACATAAACAAACTTCATCAGCAAAAATACATGAAAATGAACCAGAACCTTCCAAGGTAATAATTTATACAAACGTGTATTATGCACCTCTGGTTACTAATTATCCGAATTTGCCAATCATGAGAATTACCCATGCCCAACATTTCAGGAACAAGCCTTTTGTTTTCTTTCGGGTGGCATACAGTGGCTATTCATTCCAAACAAAAATAATAGGACTTAATCCTGTGTCAATAATAGACCAGTTTTTTTATAAAAATTTTATTAAAAAAAAAAATGAATCTTGGCTCAACAACCTCCACTACCAGTAATCCCCACAGGAGCATTTCCCATCTTTGAAATGATGAAATCGCTGGATATCTCTCAGAATTATTTGCCTACCAAAGATCAGTGATATAAATTTAGCAGCATTATGGCAATCCACACATACTCTAAGGTTCTTAACCACACGAATTGTTGTTCCAGGGGGAGTATTCAGAAGACCATAAGTAATGGCCAATTTCTCACTGTGATATCTAAGAACAATTTCTTTCTCTTCATCTTTTATGTCTGCATAATAGACCAGAGATGTGTCAGGTACATACCCAGCCAGCTTCAATTCCTGTACCAATTCATCAAGTGCATGGTGCAATACGGTAGAAGTGGAATGAACTCCATCCCCGGAGAAGAATTCATGCACAACATTGTTCACCTCTATTGAGCTACAGCCAGGGACTTTCATTGCTCCTTTGTCTACCATCATCTTCTTTAAATAATTCACATCATCCCATCTTCCATTTCTTGCACACAAATTTGACAAAATCACATAATCCCCCCCATGGGAATCATCCAGCTCAAAGATTCTCTGAATTACTTCCTTTCCCATTTCAACATTGCCATGACTGCTACAAGCAGACAGCAATGTCCTCCACAGAATTGGCGTTGGCTTGATTGGTAACTCATCTATGAATCTATAGGCTTCTTCCAAGCGTCCGGCTCGACCGAGGAGATCCACCATACACCCATAATGCTTGATACTTGGAACAATTCCATACTCATGAGTCATACTGTGGAAGTACTCATAACCTTCCTCTACCAATCCATTGTGACTGCAGGCATACAATATACCTAAAAAGGTTATCTCATCAGGCTGCACTTTTGCCTTCTTCATTTCATCCAACATTGATATAGCTTGGAAGCCATGCCCATGTGTTGCATAGGCAACAATCATCGCCGACCACGCCTGCGTGTCTCTTCTAGGCATGTCCCTGAACACAGAAACCGCATCATCCAAACTCCCACATTTCGCATACATATCAATAAGCGCAGTATTCACCTTAACATACTGATCAAACCTATTCTTCTTGACATACTCATGGATCCACCTCCCTAAGTCCAACGACCCTAGCAAAGCGCACGAGGAAAGTGCAACGAGCATGGTAACATCAGTTGGCTTGAGGCCACTCTCCTGCAATTCTCTAAACAAGGCCAAGGCCTCATTGGGGCAACTATTCCGAGCGTAGCTCGTGATGATGGCATTATAAGCAACAACACCCGGTTCATCAACCTTGTCAAAGACCCTCCTAGCAGCATCCATGTCATCGCAGGCAGTGTACATGTTTATGAGAGTTGGACACACATACATGTTGCCACTGGCCCCAAGTTTAACAGCAAGGCAATGCAGTTGTTTACCTTCCTGAAGTGCCTTTAGCCTTGCACAAACCTTGAGAAGGGAAGAGAAAGTGTAATCATCTGGAAGGAGGCCAGAGCAAAGGACCTGAGAAAACAGAAGGATTGCTCTAAGAGGGTCATGAAAGCGAGCATACCCACGTGCCATGGTGTTGAAAAGAACAATGTCTGGTTGGGGAATTTGGTCGAACATGCGGTGGGCATGGTCCATGGAAGCGGTTGTGGGATTAGAAGTGCAAAAATTTATGAGCTTTGTGACGACAGTGTTGTTGTGGAGGTGGGTTTTGATGGTGTAGGCTTGGATTTGCTTGAGCTCTCTAAGGGAGGTGCATTTGGGTATGAGAGAAAGAATGGAAGGCGAAGGTTCAAGTGCAAGTGTAGTGAGTTCATGCTTTGGGGTTTCTGTGTTGAGTTTTGTGGGAGAATGTGAGATGCATTGGATAATGGGTGCTGCCATTGTTGTGAGTTGTGACGCTAATTCCTTACCATAAACTGTGTCTGAAAGTATGGATCAAAAATGAAAAATATGGATTAAAAAAAAAAAAAGTGTCTGAAAGTTCAGACATGACATGAAACAGAGGACGAGTGAAGAAATGAATGGATAGAGTTACCAGATTGAACCGGTCGTTTGAATGAAACTCTTCTACTGTTTGAGTTTTTTTATTTAAAAAAAAAAAAATCAAGGAAAGATGATGGTTCATCCATAATATATATGAAGTCACTTCTGCACTTTTTTCTTTATAATTTTATTTTTTTATTTTTAAATGATAAAAAATAAGATTCAAACTAGATATATTAAAATTTAAAAATTAAGTATAATATTAGTTAATTTAACAAATATTAATAATTTTTAAATATTTTTATTATATAAAATATAAACACATAAAAGTTCTCGACTCTATTAATATTTAAAGTAATTAAATAATAAAAAAGAGTAATTAGACTAACAATCAAATTTGTGATATTTATCCTTCTTTTTAAATCTATGCAACAATCTCTCTCAATAGAAAAAGTTGATTTAAGAAAGATTCGTGTAACATATAAAGGATGTGCAAAAATATGTACATGGGTTAGTTTGCATATTTAGGTAGTGTTTGTTTCTGGGGATGTACTGTTTACGAGCAACGAAAGGCGAGGAAAGTATGTGTTTGTTTCTCGTGATTTGGAACGAAGGAAAGGCGAAGAAAAGGGAAGAGAAGCATTGTTGCTCTCCTCGCACAAATGCGAAGAAAGGAGCTGAAAGACACGTAGGATTTGTGAAAACCCGAAAATGCCCCTCCCATGCATGTGCCATGCAGCAGAGGAATCTCTGCCATTTCACGGACCTTCCCTGTATCCTTGTCTCATGCATGCATACTGCTAGGAATCTCTGCCATTGTTGACTGTCATTGTTGAAGAAGCTTTATCGTTGAGTGCGTTTGAAATAATATTATAAGAGAGTTGGAAGCTCTCTTTGTGGTGTGTCTTCACAGAATTTCGACGCTGGTGGTTGGTGTTGCTCACTGATTCTCCACGTTTTACACGGGCTGGTGACTGATTCTCGACGTTACGGGGCTGGTGCGTGGCTGGTGGTGGCTGGTGGGTGTTGGTGGTGAGTGATTGTGGAAGGAGCTCCTCCATTTGAAGGAAAGTTTGATCTCATTTGGTATATACGAAGGAGCATAATCGATTATGGTTGGCCACATAATCGATTATGGCCTTGCATAATCGATTATGGGTGAGGCATAATCGATTATGCAAGGTCATAATCGATTATGTGGCAAAGCATAATCAATTATGCAGGGTATTTTCGCTGCCAGTGAAACCCAGAACAGCTCGTTCCAAAAATGCATTTTATGAGAAATATGCGAAAGCAGAACGGGCCGTTCCACTTTTGGAACGGGCCTTAGGCTAAAAACCTAATTTGGTCCCTTATAATAATTTTTTGTTTCAATTTAATTCCATATTTATTTTTGGTTTCAATTTGGTCCCAAACTAATTAATTGGTTTCTATTTAGTCCCAAATTAATTAATTGGTTTCAATGTGGGACTTCCGTCCAAATTATTTAAACGGAGTTAACTTTTGGCCACGTGGATGCCACGTAGATGCATACGTGGATGAGAATTTTTTTGAAAACCCCTGGACCCAGAACGGCCCGTTCTGAAACCGGAACGGGCCATTCTGGATGCACTTTTGGTGTGTTAATTTTGCACTCGGAACGGCCCGTTCCAGGTGCAAAATTAACACACCAAAAATGCACCCAGAACGGGTCGTTCCAGTTTTTTTTTATATAATATAAAATATTAATAATTTTATAAAATATATATTATTAATTATATTTTAATTATGTTGTTATATATAATATAATAAATATATTAATATTTAATTTTATTTTATTGTTTAATTGTTTTTTATTTTGTGGTAAGTCTTGATAGATTTATTCTATTTAATAATTAATGTTCTATATCAAATTTTTAAGAATTTAATTGTTAAATTAAAAAGTTTTTCATGTATAGATCAAATTTATAAA